CTGCGCGGCGAGGGGCCCATGAGGGGGTCGCCAAGGGTGAGCTGGGCAAGCTAGCCCACGCACAGCCAGCCCGTATCACAAGGATGCGCGGTAAGGATGCAAAGGGCCTTGGAGGTACATTCAAACTATATCTTGGAAGTCCATGTGAACGCTTGTCGAACGAGGTTGGCCAGCGAAAGTCGCTGAGCGTGGGCCGGAGGGGCAACGATGCAAGGGTACCCTTTGGAAGGTGACCCATCCTCACTGTGCGGGTTGACTGTGCTGGCGGGCTGCTGAAATACAGTCGGGGCGCTGAAGAAGGGAACCTTTTCGTATGGGAGGGGCTTCGTGATCCTCACTTGTTTTACAGCCTACCTTAGGGTTTCCGTCGGATTTCGATGGGGAATCAGTGTGTGGAAACAAGGGGCCTCGCTCCTTATCTATCGTTCCTTGGGTCAACGCCCCAACTGTAAGGAACGCTCGATGAGGAACGAGGCCCGCGTCTTGACCACCGCCCGCGCTAGAGAGACAGCCGGGGAACACCGAGCCCATTCCGAGCCCAAAACGTTCCTTCTTTCCGCGTCTTGGCTGCAACGGGTGCTCCCGGTGCCCCCAGGCGCCGGGGGCGCCCGCGCACCGAAGGAACGCGCCCGTCGGCAGATCCGAAACCAGCTCCACGCAGCCAGCTTCGCCGCCACCCCGCCTTCCCCGAGATGCCCCATTCTTGTTCGGTGGCAGCTCACGGGAGTCTCCCATGCGATCCTGTCGGCTCTTGCGAAGCGACGCCTATCGACGCGAGGCGACGCCAATCGACGCAGATCGACGCCAATCGACGCTAAATCGACGCTCAGTCGGCGATCTCTCGTCGACGCCCAGACGCTAATCGACGCCGGCCGACGCCGAAGATGGAATCGAGAGAGCATGACGGGCCCTCAATGGATTTGCGACCGAACTCTTCGGAGGCCCGAAGCGCTACGGCCACAGACCGCGCGGTGAGCTCGATATCCCCAGGGAGGGAGGCCTCGCCGCACGGCTCGCCGCCGCGCCGGGTTTTTGTTGGCATATGCCTCGGAGGCACAAGGTCGCCCGAGAAGTGCTCGGACAACGGCCCGAGTCGCAAAACGTAGGTCGGGCACGTCCCCCGGCGGATTTGGGACGAAGCATGAAACATACCCTACACATATTCAAACATGTTCGAAAGCAGTAGAAAAATCGTCCCCATGGAATATTCCTCCTGTAGAGGGACATGCCCACCTTAACACAAAACCAGGCGTCCACCCCCAAGCCAATGTCTCTTGATATTGCTCCAGCACGGGGCACCCGAAAATCCCGACCAAGGGCCAGCTTCTCGGGCGCGGCCTGACCGACCCCTAGCAAACCATCCCCTTTCGTGACGTCTTGGGGCGGGGCGAGGGGGGCGGCACGGAAAGGGATGACTTGCTAGGGGTCGGTTAGGCCGCCCCTGAGGTTCGCGTTCCAAATGATTCCATGACGGTGCGAGATAAAGGGGGCCACACGCGAACCCTACCAGATTTCTAAGGGGGGCAGGGGTAGGGAACACTTCGCTCGGGAGCTCCCGAACGAAGAGAACCCCGCCCTCCCCCTCAGAAATCGTGGGGGGTAGGGGTAAGGTTAGGTCGGGCCTGTCCCCCTACAGGGTGATTGTGGACGAACAATAAAACATCGTCAAAAACTACCGTCAACTACTCAAAAATTCTTATACAAAATCGTCACCAAACTATTTTTGAGTATGTCCCGACCATCATGTGGTTTTGGGTCCTCGTTTTGAGGAGACGGTCCCCGCGTTCCTCCTCTCCTCCTCCTCCCCCTCCCTCCTCCCTGCGTTTCACCCACCCAGTACAACGTTTCGTGGCCCCATTGGGAGCTCCACCGAAGCTCCCACTGGGACCGCCCGCATGCGTCCCCCACATCCAATTTGGCATTTCCACCCACCCAGTACAGCGTTTCGTGGCCCCACAAGGAGCCCCACCGAAGCGGCCAGTGGGACCTCCCGCATGCGTCACCCACGCCCAATGTGGCATTTTCACCCACCCAGTACAGCGCTTCGTGACCCCATATGGAGCTCCACCGAAACCGCCAGTGGTACCGCCCGCATGCGTCACCCACATCAAATTTAGCACGTTCACCCACCCATTACAGCGTTTCGTGGCCCAATAGGGAGCCTCACCGAAGCCCCCAGTGGGACCGCCCGCATGCGTCCCCCACACCCAAGTTGGCACTGTCACCCACCCAGCACAGCGTTTCGTGGCCCCATAGGGAGCTTCACCGAAGCCCCCAGTGGGACCGCCCGCACGCGTCCCTCACGCCCAATTTGGCATTGCCACCCACCCTTTACAACGCTTCGCGGCCCCATGGGGAGCTCCACCGAAGCCCCAAGTGGGACCGCCCGCATACGCCCCCCACATCCAATGTGGCATTTTCACCCAACCAGTACAGCGCTTCGTGGCCCCATGGGGAGCTACACCGAAAGCGCCAGTGGGACCTCCCGCATGCGTCACCCACGCCCAATGTGGCATGTTCACCCGCCCAGTACAGCGCTTCGTGACCCCATCAGGAGCTCCACCGAAGCCCCCAGTGGTACCGCCCGCATGCGTCACCCACATCAAATTTGGCATTTTCACCCGCCCAGTACAGCGTTTCGTGGCCCAATAGGGAGCCTCACCGAAGCCCCCAGTGGGACCGCCCGCATGCGTCCCCCACACCCAACTTGACATTGCCACCCACCCAGTACAGCGCTTCGTGCCCCCATAGGGAGCCCCACCGAAACCCCCAGTGGGACCGCCCGCATGCGTGTCCAACACCCGATTTGGCATTGTCACCCACCCTTTACAACGCTTCGCGGCCCCATGGGGAGCTCCACCGAAGACCCCAATGGGACCGTTCGCACCCCAATTTGCCACCCGCCCAGTACAGCGCTTCGTGGCCCCATAGGGAGCTCCACCGAAGCCCCCAGTCGCATGCGTCCTCCATGCCCAAATTTGGCATTCACCCGCCCGAGTACAGCGCTTCGTGGGACCGTTCGCATATGGGGCTCCACCGAAGCCCCCAGTGGGACCGCCCGCATGCGTCCCCCACAAGGAGCTCCACCGAAGCCTCCAGTGGGCGGCCAGCATGCGTCACCAACACCCAATTTGGCATTGCCACCCACCCAGTACAGCGCTTCGTGCCCCCATAGGGAGCCCCACCGAAACCCCCAGTGGGACCGCCCGCATGCGTGTCCAACACCCGATTTGGCATTGTCACCCACCCTTTACAACGCTTCGCGGCCCCATGGGGAGCTCCACCGAAGACCCCAATGGGACCGTTCGCATGCGTCCTCCATGCCCAATTTGGCATTTTCACCCGCCCAGTACAGCGCTTCGTGGCCCCATAGGGAGCTCCACCGAAGCCCCCAGTGGGACCGCCCGCATGCGTCCCCCACAAGGAGCTCCACCGAAGCCTCCAGTGGGCGGCCAGCATGCGTCACCAACACCCAATTTGGCATTTTCACCGACCCAGTACAACGCTTCGCGGCCCCATAGGGAGCCCCACCGAAGCCCCCAGTGGGACCGCCCGCATGCGTGTCCAACACCCGATTTGGCATTGTCACCCACCCTTTACAACGCTTCGCGGCCCCATGGGGAGCTCCACCAGTGGGACCGCCCGCATGCGCGCCCAATTTGCATTTTCACCCGCCCAGTACAGCGCTTCGTGGCCCCATAGGGAGCTTTGGGACCCCGCATGCGTCCCCCACATTCCAGTGGGCGGCCAGCACCAACACCCAATTTGGCTCACCGACCCAGTACAACGCTTCGCGGCCCCAGCCCCACCGAACCCCCAGTGGGACCGCCCGCATGCGTGTCCAACACCCGATTTGGCATTGTCACCCACCCTTTACAACGCTTCGCGGCCCCATGGGAGCTCCACCGAAGACCCCAATGGGACCGTTCGCATGCGTCCTCCATGCCCAATTTGGCATTTTCACCCGCCCAGTACAGCGCTTCGTGGCCCCATAGGGAGCTCCACCGAAGCCCCCAGTGGGACCGCCCGCATGCGTCCCCCACAAGGAGCTCCACCGAAGCCTCCAGTGGGCGGCCAGCATGCGTCACCAACACCCAATTTGGCATTTTCACCGACCCAGTACAACGCTTCGCGGCCCCATAGGGAGCCCCACCGAAACCCCCAGTGGGACCGCCCGCATGCGTGTCCAACACCCGATTTGGCATTGTCACCCACCCTTTACAACGCTTCGCGGCCCCATGGGGAGCTCCACCGAAGACCCCAATGGGACCGTTCGCATGCGTCCTCCATGCCCAATTTGGCATTTTCACCCGCCCAGTACAGCGCTTCGTGGCCCCATAGGGAGCTCCACCGAAGCCCCCAGTGGGACCGCCCGCATGCGTCCCCCACAAGGAGCTCCACCGAAGCCTCCAGTGGGCGGCCAGCATGCGTCACCAACACCCAATTTGGCATTTTCACCGACCCAGTACAACGCTTCGCGGCCCCATAGGGAGCCCCACCGAAGCCCCCAGTGGGACCGCCCGCATGCGTGTCCAACACCCGATTTGGCATTGTCACCCACCCTTTACAACGCTTCGCGGCCCCATGGGGAGCTCCACCAGAGCCCCCCATGGGACCGCCCGCATGCGCCCCACACGCCTAATTTGAAATTTTCACCCACCCAGTGCAGCGCTTCGTGGCCTCATAGGGAGCTTCACCGAAGAAGACATTCACAATTGCGGCACCCACAGCTTCATATGGTTGGGTCCTTTGCCAAGACAATTTTGAATATTCCCACTGTAGAGGGACAGGCCCGACTTGAGGGTAGGGTTCGCATGTGGCCCCCTAGCGAGAGCCCGTCGGGGGCCCCCAGAGGCTGGAAACGCCGGGCGTTCTCCGCCGCAGGACGGCAAGGCGGCGAGTCCGCACGCGCGCTCCAGCACAGCCCGGGGGGGCGCACGGCGCACGAGTCGACCCGCAGCAAAGCGAGGAGGGAACCAGGGCCGCGCCGACGGCGTGCG